AACTAATTAATAATAAAGTGTCATGATATTGATAAAATTATAGAATGGTCGACTATAATACATTTGTTTATCTATAATATATAATCTTTAAAGTTTAAACTTAATAAAAATATGAGGTGTAGACGTCGTGTAGTGTTAATGTGTTATTCGATGGTAGGCGCACGGAAGAAAAAATGTCAAATAAAATATTCTGAAAATGATTTTTCATCAAATTGAATGTTCTGTATACTCGTGMAATTCCTTGCCTTAAATCCAATTGTCTGATGTTCTACCATTATATTAGAAGTCTAGCGTCTATATCAGATTGTCTCCGTATTCATCGTATCGTTATCAGGAGAGGAGACACTCTCGTCTCTACACATGACAGGATATACGATGTGCTTATTCAATTTACCCAGAACAAAGATAGAAGGAATATAAGTGTATAATATAATATTATGTATACGTATTCCATTAAATCATATACAATATAATACGATGCGTGCAGTAATGTGTATAGAGTAGGTATCTATCTGAATCTATAGACAAATAATCTAGTATATTTTCATATGTATTATTGATTATTATCGTGCTCGTATGTACGTGTAGTACCATGACGTGTATAATTTAATAATTTATGTACAAATATTATTTTTTGTACTTACAAATAAAAAAAAAATTATGTCTGTGGTAGCGGCGTATTCTCGCTAAAACCACGTTTTGTTGGAAATGTATTAATATTCAGCTGCTGCCTGCATAACTAGCCATTAACACAGCGAAATCAATTATTCACGGGGATTATCATTTAATCTGACCGAACCCAGAAAATGTGGATAGACAGACAATATTTTTGCAGCAATTTTTCAAATATTATGCCATATTTTTACCTAATGTGGTTTAATCTTTGATTACAATTTGGTTAGAATGCAACCGTATATCATTGGCAAGTTTCATTGAACAAGGTTCATACGTTTATAAAATGAACATAAATTATAAGTACCTAATATATAAGACACAGGCTTATTGATGTAATAAATGAAAATTAAGAAGTTGATATCTATAATACAAATAAAATAATATAGTATATATAGTAAACAGGATGCCTCGCGAGGATTTATCCATTGCGATATTTCACGAAATAATGGACATAGCCAAATTCCGGTTTTATAATAAGATTTACAGGGATAAGAACTACAATTATTTCATTTCTTAATTTATTTTAATGTTTTTGTAAAAAATATATTTTTTTATTTAATTATTTCCAAAAAAATTAAAGATGGCCATTTTGTAGAATTTTTTCTGAAAATAGTGACGTTTCAAAATTTTATTTTCATAAATTTTCTGATTTTTAATATTTTTTCTAGTTGTGAAGAAATAAAATATGATTATAACTATTAGGAACATGGAAATAAGTATTCTGCCGGCCGTAGGAGAATGCGCGCGGCGCGGCGGGTCACATGTTTGAAAACATTACGGTGTTAAATAATTCGCACTTTTTCTTGAAATTAGACAAAAATTAAAAACCAGAAAATGGATGAAACAAAATTTTTTAATTTAAAATTTTTCAAATGCTATTGCAACAATATGTTGGAAGCCTTATATTAATTTTTGAAGCTTTTTAACCCAACCACTAAAATTGTAATGACGTTAATAGAAAAAAAAAACTAAAAAAGTTGAAAAATTAAAATTTCGTCAGTAAACAGCCCAAAACTAATCAAAATATTTTGAAAATCTTATCAAATATAGAAAATGCCTATAAAAACATTCAGTGAAAATTTCAAGTATCTGCGGTCATTTGTTTTAGAGTTACACCAAAATAAGAAAATCGCTAAATGTGAAGTCTATAGTGAAAATCCAATATTGTAAAAATTTAAATTTTAAACGCTCATAAAAACTTAATTTGACTTTTTGGTGGATATTTATTTTATAATAAAGGTTGACAAACTTGTAAAAAATCTTAGATTTGAAAAGAAAATGTTTTATGAATTTCCTGTTTAAAATTATTTGCGAATTTTCGTGATTTGTACTAGTTTATCAAAATTCAAACTTTGAATGCTTATAAAAAAAAAAATTGTGATCATGTATTTCTTTTATTTTTCAACTGTTATTTTAACAATATATTAGGAGCCTTGCATTAAATTTTCAAGATTTTCTAGTATTTCTATCCAAGAAATACATTTTTACCTATATTAATTTTAAAAAAACTAATGATTACCGAAAATTGCATATGCCAATAAATAGTTCAACTTGAGTGGATTTTTTTTTGAAAATTGCATGGTGGATAGAATAAACTTATATAAATATTCGGTGAAAATGTCATGTATCTATGGTTTATCTCTGTGAGTCTTATTACAAAACCAGAATTTTGATATCGCCATTATTTCAGAGATATCGCAATGGGTAAATCCTCACGGGACATTCTGTATAATATATACAATTATTATACAGCTTAAGAACGTCTTAATGTAAACTTTAATATTTACAAATTACCCAATTGGTATTTAGGTATCTATTATAACTATAATAAAGACTGGTAGGATATTAGATTGGAGTAAACACATTTTTCACGGTAATAATACAAAACCTTGAACATTTACAGCTGCAGGTTCCTCAAAATTGAATTTGTATTAAAATGTTCTAGACATGATATTATTTTCAAAATAATTATATACCTATTCTTTTGGATACTTAATTGTATTTGCATTTTAAAGTTTTGAATTTTATTATTTTTTTTCTATAAAAGTATATAATTATTTTAACACTCGATCAAAAATCTTATAAATTTAATACAAAGTTCATCATCAATTTAGCGAGTGAAATTTAAAAAAATTTCATCGTAAGTCCACAAGTTTTTTATGAATAATTGAACTTCTGAAGTTTACTTTTCAACAAAGGAACCAAAATGTAAAAATTATTTTATGTTGTTAAAAATTTATTACATTTTCAGACTTTCTATTTCCTAACAACTAATTTTAAATTCTGAATGAACGATGAATGTATATTATTGATTTAACAATGATAATTTTTTTTTAAACATAGGTATTTATACTTGATTTATAATATAAAAAAAATTGTGATTTTAAACTTCAATATATTTCCTGAAAAGAAAGTAATTCTAGTTAGTACCTACTTGAAGTTCAAAATACATATAGTACTTTTATTAATAATTGGGAAAAAAATAGAGAAAACCAGATTGACAAATTTTCGACAAAATCACTTTTTTTATTTTGTTGGAATTGAAGAACAAATAATTGTTATTACTTGAAAAGTTGGCCAAATGTTTATATATATTAGCAATTTCAATGCATGGTAAAGTTTTCAAAATATTTTATTCTTTTTGAGCTATTATATTTTATAGGCATGATAATTGTTCTAATGTTTTGGTATATTTCTACTTTACGGGACACCTTTTTTTCCTATACAAAGTGAACTTTCCAATTATCTAATTATGACTAAAGCTTACGAGTTTTTTATTAAGTTTAGTAATCAAATATATTTTTTTATTAGTAAATATTATAATATGTAATATGTATATTGTATACCTATGTATAAACTATTTATTTTTTAAAGTTATGAAATAATGTTTTTAGATTTTAAAATAGTTGGACTTAGATCCATTAAAGGTTAACCAAAATCTTTTATACTGTATACCAAATGTTAATGTCATCACTCTAATTTTACGTGTGTTTATTAGCTTACTCGTACTTTCAACTTTCTTCGACTCTTAAAATATTGCAAGTTGCTTGTATAGAGATCCATATAATTAAAATAGTATATTAAATTCTATATAATTTAGAGAATATTTCTATAAAAAATAAGTTATTTGGTATATTATTTTATTTTAAATATTTTAAATTTTTTAGTGTATAATATATACTTCACCGACATTAGCATAATAATCATTAAAAAAACATTTGTTACTTCTAAAGAATACTTTTGTAGATCATAAATGTTGTTGTTACACATAATTATTTACTTATCATTGTTGACACATGTCAAATGTCAACACTAATAATATTCGCCTTGCAGCCTTAGTATACTTAAACTACAAAATCAAAAATACCGAACACATCATACATGCTATTAAATCTGCAGTGTGTATACAACAAGCATAAGAAATAATAATGTATACTTTTATAATTTTATACATAGCCACATAGGTACGTTGTACGTACGTAATATATTATAATAGGTAGGTAATTAATAATAACAACGGTATGTCATGTGTGCGATTGTGCAAATTTCAGTGTCTATTTGCTTATGAATAAATCGAACTAATGCATCAAGGTAACTGTTTTAACGTATACCATACGCTATATACATTTTTAACACTAGAAATGCAATCCGTATTACGTATTTATATACCTAGTCATAAATTCATAACCTATTCAGAAGACATATTACATTGCATTTATAAAGCAATACATTTCGGAGATCAGAATAAGAATAGGAATTTTTATAAATGAATGAATTTTAATAATATAATAACAAAGATATTAAGTATATAATATTTATATGCTGCTATTATGCGCATAATAATTATTCAAGCGTGTCGAGCGACTTTTGCGGTCTCGTGTTGAAATCAATACCGCTGCAAAGACCGCACGTGACGGGACTTCCAAGGGTTACATTCTCTTTCGCAAACGATACGATACTTATCTCTTTGTCTTCGTTTTTTTGAATTTTACCAAGTGTAACTTGGTTATAATATGTCATAGTCTMGAAACTAATATATATTAATAATTATTTTTATTTAAATTATTATTATTTTTCGACGAGTTTGACGTGATAGAAATGATCGAAAGTAATATTGATTTTGCTGAATCATTATTATTACTGTTATATAATTAGACATAAAGTATACACAACTAACTTTTTGATTAAAGCCACGAATTATATATTATTATTAATTATAATAAATATAGGTAACATATGTGTGCCGGAATTCGGCATATGAATTATAATTGTATATAATGTATTATCCATATTATTATTTATTGTTGTTGTTATTATTGTTTCAGTGGCGGCGATCGTATAGGCACCACTACCCCGTGTATTGACGTTGGACGCAGTGGGGTGTACAGGCCATGGGTAGAAGATGTTAAATACTCAGTGCTGGAAAACAGACCTGCCGGACAACGGGAATAATGGCGGCGCTGCAGTTGCATCACCAGCAGCCATGCTCCAGGATGCGGACAAGTCAATGCGATTGCAAGCATGTTGGATCCGGTTGTGGGACAGGTGGGCGTACGAACAGCGCAATGTGGTCCTGTACCAGATGCACATCAATCACGTGCTGTCTCGGGAACGGTCCAAGCTAACGCTGGCCGGTGGCCGAGTGGTGTCGTGCAGGCGCATCAAGCAGCAGCAGATAGGAACGGGATCCCGGTGCTGTAGCACGACCATCACGGCCGCCGCTGTCTCGACGTTGCCTGTGGCCGTCCGGTCCACCGCGGTGCATCCTACCAGTAGATGCATCGCTTCATCCACTCCTGATGACGCCCCGATCTGCAGCGTGGCCACTGAAGCCACCGCCGCAATGGTCGCGTCGGTTACCTTATCGGACGCTGCGGGTGCTCGCGACCTGCGCGTGCTGTCTACAGCCGTTGCTCGGCTTCGGGCGTCCGGCTGGTACTACGAGGGCACCGAGGCACAGGCCTGGGCCGCGGATGCACTGGCCAGCATGCCGGCGGGTCGATTTTGCGTTCGAGATTCCAGACACTCGGAACACCTGTTTACCATGGACGTGCAGATAGGCCGCACCGGTGAGTCTCGGCTTATGAGCGTCCGGTTCACGTATGTAGATGGAGTGTTTGGGCTAGACTCGATGCCACGTCGAACAGGCGCTTTCAGCGTACCGAAGTTCCGATGTCCAATCGAGCTGATCGACTACTACGTGCGGCTGTCCCGGATCGAGGCAGCCCGCCAGATGCTCGTGTACCCGGTGTGGATCGACCAGTGTGGCCAGTTCTTTTCGTGGTTGAACCTCCGCCGGCCAGTGGTCAAGGTCACCGCCGCAGGGTTCCCGTCGCTGAAGCACATGGCCCGCCTGGTAATCAACCGGCACAAGCGTCTCATCACCATCACTCCTACATCACTACCAAACGAACTGATCGAATATTTACTCCAATATCCGTATAGCCTGTGATCAATTTATTTTCTACGTCGTCTACGTTACTTTTCTACTATTATAATACTATTATTTTAATTTTTTGTCGTATTTTTACTGTCAGTCTTAATTTATGTTAGGTATATAATTATAATATAGTAAGTTATTAGCGCATGTGCGTGTACAAATTATTATTACGTGTTTATATTTATATATAGTAATTATTAGAAGAAAATACGTTGTATATGTATTATATAGATTATAGATATCCTATATACATACCTACTATTTTTATATACAGCAGAAACAATTATAATATTATAAATATATTTTACTTTTCACTTATTCAATTTTCGCCATTGTGAATTTTTTATAAAGCATTGTGCATAGTATACATTAAACAATGTAGTGTTATGTAGATTTTGGCTTTTACCATTGTATAAAATTACTAATAATACAACCGTAAAATTTATATAGTTTTTTGAAATATTTAGATAAGTAGGATAACTATTTGGTTACAGATATAATATGACTAAATTACGCAAAATGAAACTCTACGCTATCAAATGATAATTAATTTTTTTCATTTCGCACGCATTTTCTTAATATAAATGTAAATATCTTTTAAATGCATATCCAAATTATACTTTTTAATGTAAATTATTATTACATCATGTTGTTATTTTTAATGCCATATTTAGGTCAAATTTAATTTGTAATGAAATTTTTGTTTCAAAAATACACAAGATGATACAATCGGTACAATCAAACGTAAAATAAAAATGAGTTTTAATTGCAGTATGAAATTTAATTCAACTATAATATTCGTGTATATTATAAATATATATTAGGGTTGACACTATTGAAATCGGAAACCGGTATTGCAGGATTAGATTCGGTACTGATATGAAATTGTATACCGTAGTACCGGCACAAATTGAAAAACTGCTGTGATACCGGAAAACATTTAAATGATAAACCGAGGGAGTGTAAACATTTTATTTAAAACATAATATTATAATATTTGTTATATTATGTTTAATAATTTATTATATAGAGGGAACGGTAGATAAACTACCTTATTTATAAAAAAATAATAATACACAGTCGTATAGGGATGGCTTTTTTTCTATTTAAAGGGAGGAATTTTTAATTATTATTAAAAAAAAATTATATTAAGGTGATAAAAATAATAAGGGTCTTTGCTTTTGTAGTTAGTCGAGATGGATGAAGGATTAATAATATACCTTTTAATATTAATATTATGTAACGTACAACGGTTGCTGCGGTATTTGAACAACAACCGATGTATTGACGGTATATCGAAAAAACCGTCAATCCTAATATACAGGGTGATTCTTTTAAGTGGGTACACTAATTATCTCGAAAAGTATTTACTTTTTTCAAAATATTTTTTACATGGCTTCAAGTTGTTAAAAAATTATATTCATCATTTTTTAAGTTTTTTACTTTTGAATGACAACATAGAGTTTTAATTTCATATTCCAAAGCAGAATATTTTTCTRAGTATTTTGATTCATAAAAATCGAAATTAGGACGAGTAGTTTATGAGTTATATGTATTTAAAGTTTAGACAAGCGGAGTAGTGGACAAACATTTTGCGGGGTAACTCCGTACCACTCCACTTTGCCAATCTAAACTTTAAATACTTATAACTCAAAAACTACTAGCCCTAAATTCGATTTTTATGAATAAAAATACATAGAAAAATATTCTGCTTTGGAATATGAAATTAAAACTATGTTGTCATTCAAAAAAGTAAAAAACTTAAAAAATTATAAGGATAAAAAATATTTAAAACTATAATTTTTTAATAAAACCTTTGATTTTTTAATAACTTGAAACCATGTAAAAAAATAATTTGAAAAAAGTAAATACTTTTCGAGATAATTAGTGTACCAACTTAAAAGAATCGCATCATTATAGGAAACATTTTAAGTGCTTTTGAATTTTAAATTTATACGAAATAGCGTAACGAGAACGATTTATCCTCAAACGATTTTAAACATTTGTTATTATTCAAAAAGTATAAGTCGTAGATACTTGAAACTTTTACCAGTTATTAAGATTGGCATTTTCTTTACATGATTTAATTTTCAAAATATTTTGAGATATTTATAGACAACTGAAATTTTCAATTTTTCTGAAAATTTTTTTTTGAAGTGTCGATAAATTTTTTTTGGCCCAATCAAAATACTTGGCAATTTAATACAAAGTTCCTCATTAGTTATTCTTATAGTGATTAACAAAATTAAAAGAATACATAGGCACAATTTTTTTTTATTAGCATTCGAAGTTCAAATATTGACTTAATAAGTAAAAATTACTGCAATTTTCAAATTATCTTAGATAGAAATTCATAAAAGTTTTTCTTTTTAGATCTAAGATTTGAAAATTCAATACAAGGCTCCTAAAATATTTTTACAATAGCAGTTGAAAAATAAAAGAAATGCATAGTCACATTTTTTTTTTTACAAGCATTTAAATTTAAATTTTGACAACACGTAAAAATCACGAAAAATCGCAAATTATTTTAAGCTACCTAGAAATTCATAAAAAATTTTCTTTTTAAATCTAAGATTTGAAAATTTTTAATAATCTATAATACATCTTATAGACAGATAAACCGTCTCCGTTCAGAATCGTTTTTCGTATATACAATGATACCTATCATTATATTCAAATTTAACCTACCCTAGTCAGAGGTCCACCCCACCCCCTAATGTTCAGCAGAGCGATACCCACTTACCCGCTTTTTTAGAGTATACTCTGTGAGAGTGTATTACTGATACTATATAGTATATATACAAGATAAATAGTAGAAAAATTGTTTCAATCTTCAACTTGAGAGTGTTTTCTGATAAAATATTGAATTAAGAGGACGCTACACCCGCATAATATGTTGTCTCCGTCCAAGTGCGTAACATAGCAAATTTTATGCTCAGCAGATCACGTTTAGCTCCGTTAGTTTAAAATTTAGAGTAAATTGACTTCTTACAAAAATTAAAGGTAACATTATTATCGAGGGCATGACGTAGGCTTTTTATTATATTTTAATTTTAAAGTGAGTTATGTGTATTTTAAGATATACAAACAATTTTAAATTTTAAAATACACATAACTCACTTTAAAATTAAAATATAATAAAAAGCCTACGTCATGTCCTCGATAATAATGTTACCTTTAATTTTTGTAAGAGGTCAATTTACTCTAAATTTTAAACTAACGGAGCTAAACGTGATCTGCTGAGTATAAAATTTGCTATGTTACGCAATTGTAAGACGGAGACAACGTATGCGGGTGTAGCGTCCTCTTAAGCTTTTTTGAGAGGTTGACATTTGAAACTACCATAAAAATAATAAAATGCACTTAACAATAATCAAAGTAATAGGGAAAAACAAAATAATAAGGAAAACCAAGAATCGTTACGCAAAACCAATTAGTTTTTGACAAAATCGATTTTATTTTTATTTGGCGTAAATTGTATATAAACTATAATTATCGTAAATAGATTCAAGTGTTTAAAAGAGCATTTTTTATACATGATAACATTTTTAAATATGTTTTCAGTTTTTCAGCTTTACGTAACAATTGACATTTTAAATTTAAATTTTATATTTTTTTAAAAACCGTGATAATTAAATACAAAGATCCTAGAAAATCTTGCATACACTAATTTTAAAAAAAATGAGACGTACGCATGTGAAACATCAAAATTGATTTGTGTGAAAATATGCTTGAAAATTGAATGGATGGTTTATTAAAGGAAATAAAAATGGCATTATCCAAAACAAAATATTTAGATTTTTTTAAGAAAAATCATTCTTAATTTTAAAGGCGCATATTGTATAACGTTTCAAGAGCCTCGAGCTTTGGGCGTTGCGTGCCTACGCCTACAACTGGTCCCATCCACTGTGATTGTATTATATATAACATCTATAGATATTTTACATAAACAATATTGAAAATATACATAGTCACAATTTACAAGCTTTAAAAATTAAAATTTTGAATAAATTCGTTAAAATACCAAAAATTTGTCAATTATTTTGAAGTTAGAAATTAATATGTTCTTTTTATAACTAAGATTTGAACATTTGATGCACGATTTCTCATAAAGTCATAAATTATTCTAATCTCAACAAAAATAAAACTAAAAATCCACGTTAATTGCTAATAAAGTAATAACTTTTAAACAGCATAATAATATATATATTGTATATAGTATATATATAATATATAAACTTATTTTAACCTTAGATGTTATAATGGTCATAAATCATAATATTATACTAAATTAAGAACTGTGTATTTATCTATACAGAACAAACTATATATAATTATACTTATGATTTATAAATGTAAGAAAAAGTACTCAGATTGATGTACTTTAAAATTTAAATAGACCCTGCAAATTGATAAATTTTTTGCGTATAAATGTATTATACATTTATACGTCAATACGGATTAACAAGTATCCAGCCTGTATGTAATATCGAAGTAAAAATATGAGGTCGTCAAAAAAACTATTGGAAATCATTGTTCACTCAAATATAATAAGTAATAAATTATGATAATAATTATCCGATAAACGCTGCGAAAAGTGCAAATGAATCCGCGGAATTCAGGAGTCCGAGGTGACTAAAGGTATATTCTTTATTTCTAATAATAAGATATTCGCATTCTATATAGTAGGATGTCCCGCCTTTTTTATGATGTTAATTACTACCAGTAGCAACATTTTTGAATTAATTATAATCTCTTGTTTTTTTTTAGATAACATTATTTATTTCTAACAGACCTTATTAGTGGAGTAATGAATTTAAATATATTTATGGAACAGTAACAGGTATTTATTCTAATAATAAAATTAGGTAGGTATCAAAATTAAACGCAAACTGCTTCTATGCTTGTAAGTGAGATAACAAATACGAATGTGTGGCATTCTCTCAAAGATAATTAAGTAGAATAATCTAAAATTATAAATAAATTCTATGGTAGGTACCAAGGTACCTAATTAGTATAATAAATAGTTTGTCTATTTGTCTGTCTCTAACATAACTTCCTTAGTAGTACCGTAATTGGGGGGGGGGCGGTACTGGTTTGCGCACAAATACCAAAAAGACAACTTGTTTGGGCACAACACTACCACTCGTTTGGGAACAGTTGAACCGTA